CATTTAAAACTAACGCGAGCTGATTGATGACGATTATTATCATAACGATGTTTATATCGTCCTAACAAGGGAAAATGAATTTTAAGCGAGGGCGGGACGCTCACCGCGATAAATCACCGTAATCGTTTCGCGTGTTAAACTATGCACGCGAATAAAACGGCCTGGCAAACGGACATCAATTTTCATCGATAACCAGTTGTTTGCCACCATTCACGGTCGTTCGATAAATTAAGTAACGCGTCGACTGCACCGTTAACGAAGAATTTCGTTCGACCAACAAAAGTGAAGTCTACGGGTGAATTATTTGACCAGCTACATGTGCAGATCCGACTTGGAAGCCGGGACCGATTAGCGTTCGTTCATAGTTCAACGTGCCTGTGGAAATGTTCCATTTTTATTTGTTCCCGTCTCTGGATGGCTTTTGTTCCGATTCCTAAATCAGTGTTTCTCGTAATTCCATGGCTCCTCCAGAACAGAATTCAAATATTGTCTTTGTATGTATACTTTTGTTTGCTTTCATCGATCTATAACGTAGAACACTGTCGGTGAGGCAGGTTACTCTGTTGGCAGCGTAGAGCACTCTGTCGATAACTCCTTCGATCAATTATGGCTCTACATTGCCGAGCCTTACCGGCAGAATGCGCTGCATTACCTACCACCTATTCCACTCTACCAGTTTCAGATAATTAGGCACGTAATCTTACGATTGATTATCGTACCTATTAGTTCAGTCTTGAAAACACATGTGTCTTCTTCCATATCACATTTACGTCGTTCTACATCAATCCTTAACTTCTGAATGTTTCTATATTGTTTACGTGTCTATTGGGACCCACTGGCCCTCTATAGCTGGGGTGCCTCGGTTTCGCTGGCCCCGTACTGCAGCTATAATTAAATATAGCTACAACCCCTGAGGGTTCTATCGCATCTAATATTTAATTTATGATTCTTATCTCCAATTCCAATTTAGTATGCACATTACTTATGACAATAGGAGAATAATGTGAATTTCCAAAGTGAATTTCCTTGTTTATCCATGTGTACCTCTCCTTATCTCTCTAATGAGTGTCTTTAATAGAAATATGAGGAGCCATTATTTTACTGTAACATCGTTTTTTTTTTCTGTTCTTTTTTTTTCCACGAGCTAGTAGAACACAGCTGAAGAAACACCGGTCTAAATTTTCCGCTATAATTATCCGAGAGATTTCCCCAGCGCGTTCGCCTTTGAATCGCCCGAAAATTCGAAGCGCCATTATGCCCGAGTTGCATTTTTTCTGGAATATTACGCGAACCAGTGACAAAAAGGTGTTTGTCCTTTGTGTCGCGTAAAAGAGCGACGACGCTTTTCGCATCATAATCGAATAACACAAGGGTGTAATAAAATGAAAAAAAAAAAAGAAAAAATTTGGTGCGAATGGATTTTCGCATTTTTCTGTTCACACCACTTTCAGCATAATCTAGCGCGTACACTACTGGCACTTTTTACGCTTTGTCAATTTATTAGAATAATTATCAATACATTCACGTTATTTATTCGTGAATATTCACGTGCGAAGTAGCCAGCCTTGTCAAACCCTGTTATACTTATTCTGGGTATTTCAGGCTGAAGCATGGTAATGGCTAGAAGAACCTTCCGGAAAATAAAACCTTGATAGATATGTAGATGTAATTATAAACAGAGTAGGTGTGCTCTTCGAGACGAAACAAATTCTAATCGTATCTATATTCTTACTACCAGGCTGTGGATCTTTATGCAAAATAAAATCTTGACAAACTTAGCTGAAAAAGTGAACCCAAATAGGAATTTATTGTACCCTGCAAATGTTATAATCAGAACTTTACTTTCAATATAATTTTTTATATCGTATTTCGTGGATCAAATTTCCTATAAACGCATAAAAATCTCCAGTCTACTTATTACGGCTTACAAGGCGGCGTCCAATCAAGCCGAGGAACTAAATAGAGGATCGTCGATTCCATTGACTGGCTAGGACTTTAACTTTAGGACGCCCTGTACGCGAGCTCGACGAGGAAGACTACAGAATGGAAGCAAACAGGAAACATCCCTGAGATTAAAACATCTACATATGCATCCAGACGTTAGGAAAGAAGATTGTGTACATCACCGGGGCATCCAGGATATGCAAAGAGATTTTTCTTCGAGGAAGCAGAGGAGATACAGAAATTGTAGCATTACAAGATTTTAAGGTCACGTTGCGGAACAGCAGTTCCCCTGAATCACATCCTTTCTCGTGTTTTCTCTACGACCATTTGTCATGGTTTTATATACTCGAACCTGCGCTCTGTTTTATTCCAATCTGCGCGTAACCTGAGTCTTGATCCGATGGACACTACATGCGGTGTAATTGTTGTTATTTCTCCAGAACTGAGACTTGGGTTATCGGCTCAGTAACTTGGATAATTGGTGCTTTAACGTTACGGAGTAATGATAAAATAAATATTCCTACTCAAACTAGATTTACGACAAAAATGTAGATAAGAAATAAATACTAAATGATTGAATATAAAGCCACAGAATTGATTTCTGCGTCAAGGATATTCATTTCTTGCTCGTTGATCAATGAAATACTTCGTGAAACGATACCAAGCAACGTTAACTGAAACGATGTTTATAAAACAATTTCACGTTCCACGAAGTTCCATTTCATAAGGTATTTCTGATTTCTTGAATAGCGTGCGCGTTACTTAACCCGGGATAACGACCAATGAACATTGAGATTTGCAATGCGCGACACGAAAAAGAACGACAGTGCTCCCCGCGGTATCTGATAATTTACCGAAAGGAGAAGTTACTTTGGGGTTAACACGCAGTGCGAGCCAAACAGCATATAAATGCGAATGCAGATGTAAACGCGGTTTCCAGCAGCCATGGCCCCTCGATTTGAACACCAGATGCAGCTCGTACAGTCGTAGTTAACTGCTGAATTGCAGTGGGAGCTTTTTACATTTGACCCGAATCGAGGCCAGCATACAGATACGAACGTAATATTTTCATGGAGCATCTAACACAACCGAACGAGTTACAACTTTCTTTTGGTCGCCGTGTCACACAGAAATGGGGCTGACAAGACTTCCCATTACTAAAAACAATCAATTTCGAGGGTGAGGTGGTAATAAAAATAAATTGGCATATGATTCGTGAATTTGGAAAGGTTAAAAATTAAATACTGGAACGAGTGGCGATCAACGCGTTAAATTATTGAAAAAAGAAAAGAGAATAAACTGTATCAAATGTAAAAATGCTTCGAATCAATAGAAACCATGGATAAATAAATCCTCGATGAAGGACCACCTGATCATTGTTTACATATAAACTAGAAATATATCGAAACGAAAGCTTTCAATTTTTTCAATTCTGCTTTTTTCATCACTGGAAACACACACTCTCGATTCAAACGTTAAAGTAGCAGAACATTTTGTCCAATTTCGTTATAAAGTGTAGCTAGGTGAATATTAGTTCTGTATGTCGATATATTACTCGGGAATCGATTTCGTTTCGCCAGACATTTTGTCAATATCGGACAGGAAACAAAACACGAGGCCCCCTTTCGCCAAACACAGTTGTACGAACATGCGCGAGGGAAATGGCGATTTCGATGTAGTCTAACGCGATGGAAACCGTTGAAATCCTTAAAAATGTCTGCTCTGTCAGTCAAAGGAAATAAGGAAAAAATATTTGTTGAGTCTACGAGATACGTATAAACGGTGTGTAGAAGGAAAAGTCCAGGCTGGTGTTCATTTGATTCGAATTAATTCCCAAAGATGACTTTTTCGAACGATCTAACTACTCAGCCCCTAATCGATCTACCTTTCTATATTAAAATTTACAATCATTCCGTTTATTCAAAAGCTACGCGTACTACTTTCTATTTGAGATCTTTTCGTTTACAATAGCATGACTCAAGAAAGGCGACTGAATTTCACGATGATCACACAAGAGAAATAGAAGAAGAATGGCTGATACAAATAAGATTTGGACGTCGCGTCTCGGAAAGACGCTCCAGCCTGAAAGGATCGTCCGTGACCAGAGATTGCTGGAACATTCCCCTCGTCGAGTTACGAAATTCGCGAATAAATATTTATGATGTATAATGCGCGGATGTATTATTTATCTTCATCCATATCTACGTAAAACTTCGAGTCCTACAACCCCGATATATTTATGAGTTTCTCGAATAAAAATACACTCCCTGACGCTATGAAGTATCACGTGAAAATATTCTCAGGATACCAAAAATAAAAAAATGTCGATAATGAAAACGTAGGAAGGTAGAAAGGTTATTCGAGTGAAGAATTGTTTACACGACTCGCAGTAATATTATTAAGTGCATCTGCCATTTCGTGGCAATTCTGACGAATGAAAATATCGATGCACCGTAACATCAACTGGTGGCTGGAAACCCTCCTTGATTTATTCGGTATTAATATAAAGCTTCGCTTGTTTGGGTTGGCATGCAGAGCGATATAAAGTGATTCGGTTTCCCCAACGGGTTTCTGGCGTTTTGTTACCGTAACGATGGGGAAATGTTTATAAATATTTGTTGCGATAAAGACACTGAATAAAATCGCTTGGTTCCTTCTTTCGTTTAAAAAATAAACGTTGAAACAATTAAAATAATTTTTGGGAACGATAGCTGAAGGTCTAAGACGGCTCGTGTATGCGACTGTACCTCTTAATTACGACAAATCGCACGTCGAGGACTCTTACTATGCGTGTTCACTAATTTCCACTTGTTTCAAAATTCACTGACTCGCAAAAACAAATCGGAGAGCTAAATATACAGAACTTTCGTAGCAGACATGTTAACCTCTTCAGGGATATTGATCACATGTGCGTGTTACATAAAAATTATTCACGATCAGTGTAACTCTTGAAATTAAAGAAATATATAATACCGAAGGGAGACATCGTATATCGAAATCGAATCAGAAATAAAGAATGCATCGATTTTCCTCAAAAATTGTGTCCAATGACTCACCGTAGCGCGCGTCGAAGTCGTTCCAGAGGAAAACCAGCGCCGCGAGAGTTTGCGGAGAGATTAATTAAGACCAATCGTCGTCCAAAGACAATCACCGTTGCTTAGCCACGCGTCGACCCAGCCGATCTCATCGTCGCTGGTTCGATAACTGTTTTCTATCACCACGCGAACTCCGTTTTCACACTCCGCGGGCACAGATCCTCTAACGACGTCCTCGAGCCTCGATACAGCCCACAGTCGATAGTTCCCCCAAGTTGTTACCCGAGCGACCTCGTCAGAATATCGCCGAACGACTCGAAATGTATTCTATCCCAGCCGATCCCAAACGAATCGTACCATCGCGGTAAAATCCTGGCCACGAGGGATCGAGTCATATCACAAATTTTGATACTGGGTAAAACGCGACGGATTCACGATGGCACCATGGTGTCCTCGCGGGGTCGAAGGACGAGGGGCATCTCGTCTTCGAAGACGAAGCACGTGGTTGAGATACGAAGCACTGGGTTTCTTCTACGTCCTCAAGTTTGAAGCACTGACCGATGGAGACGATCGAGATCAAGAATTTTCCCTTAATTTTAAATAGAGGATCTTCGAATCTTGAAAGAAGTCGCTCCCTGGCGATTAACAGCGTCTTCTGAAGGATACTCTGGTCCTTTGGACATCACCAAATATCCCACGAGGTGTCTTCAACCTTTAATTTTCAAAGTACAGAATTCTTTCACTATCCACGCAACCTTCGCCTTTCTTTTTCCTTTTTTTTTTTTTTTTTTTTTTAATTTCCACCCCAATCCAATCACTAATAGCACTCAGCGAACCGATCTACGCTCGACACTCGACGGGGTAGCGTCGTATCGATTGTCAAACGTGATAGCAGCGCGTCGCGAGCCAGCGATAGTCCATGACGGGGGTAGAGATGACTCTTCTTGGAACGGTTGAACGAAACTGGCAGCGGGTGGTCGCGCGCCACCGCGAGCAGGGTCACCTGGCACCGAGAGCGTCGCGACGCGCGTCTCTCCGTGCGACTCGAGCCCAACTGGCGCAAGCTCTTCCTCCCAACTGGTGGGGAGACGACTCCAAGTACGACCCCCGAGCGCGCCAAGACTGGCGCTTTCGATTCTGGCGGGTTTTTGCTCGCCATTCGACTCCTTGATCCAACGATCGTGCGGTATTGTTCCAGAGGGGACGGAAGAGGGAGGACTCTCGCGCTTCAGGTACGAGGATTATTGCTCGAATTGGTTTCGACGTAACTTCCGCGATTTTAAAGGAAGAAGCCACTTTGGACTTGTAAAAATCACAGGCATATATTCGATCACTTTTTTTTGCGAAATCGATTAGGTTAATGGGAAATCTGTTCGCTGGGGTTTGTTGTGCGTATATCGAGGAATGTTAGAGTTCTCTTCGAACGATTCTCTCGTAAGCCAAGTATTTTCGTTTTCTACGCGACGCAATGTGTGAAACGATTTAACCGAAAATTAATTTTTCAGATTTTCAGAAAACAGATTTTCAATCGAGTCATATGTTTTCGAAAAATACATCGTTTAATATGCCTGTGATTGTCATGCATCTGAGGTGGCTTTTTTTTAGTTTCATTTTGTATATCGTGTATTATTGGATTTAATATTAACAAGGCCTGACGAGAATTAGGTTTGTTCTTCGAAAAAGTCTGTCTGTATTTTCCAAGCAAACGAGGAATAACGAATCCCCTGCATCCACGTTCATAAATAAATGAGTAAATAAATAAGCAACGCAGTTACGATTAATCTCGTCCGTCAAAACTTGTAACGACGTCGTTGGAGTTTAAAGCGTTGTATCGTTTTAATTATATTACATTATCCCCGGGCGAAGCCACCGAGACAGTTCCTTGGGTACGGGAGGTACGAGAGTAACGGGAAAATTTAAATTTCTGACTTCATGATTAAAAATTTTCATATCTCCACGTAAGGAAGCAGGGGTGCGTATATTGCCACTCTAAATGGAAAATTTCATCCATTCGAAAAGGGATGCACGTCTTCGAGAAACGGGTAACGAAGGTGGGAGATACAGAAAATATACGTAAAAATAATAACTGTTGAGATTAAAGAAATAACTGCACGCAACGATCACTTTTGTATCGACAAGAACGCTATAATTATAATAAAAATGTCAGGTAAACACGTTTTGTGTTCGTACCTTGTTTCCAACGTCGTGGGAAACAGGACGAACATGTTTTCTCATAGAATTGTCATTTTTATTATCGGCAGCGTTAAATGAAACTCCAGATGAAAAATATTCATTTCACGATGCAGTTGGAACTTTTAAACAATTACCTAACAAAGTACCTCCTTCAAATTTAAAAGTGTTAAAAGAATTCGTTTTGAAAGTTAACTGTCAATGAAAATGAATGTAAACGAAATTCATAAATTTGTATGAAGTTACAAAAATACATACTACAATAAATGTCCTAGAAGTATTAGTTTGCCTAGCCAACGTGTTTAAAAGACTCTTGTAAAAATTCGATGGCCTAATGTTTATTCTTCAACAACCCTACTTCCACCTTACAAGATTTCTACAGCACGAATCCCCGAAGAAAATCAGATATTCCGGAATAATGATCCCGGGTAATAACTCAAGTAGAAACACGCCGGGCTCGGCGGATACGTTCCCTTATCCAGCGTTCAGAAATTCAATTGCAGTTACACGCGGAAGCTCGAAGTTCAATCTTGCTGAAGTGTACACATGATCTTCCTCACAATACGGTGGAATCGAGGATACACGGTGGTTGCAACATTTTCTTCGGGAATCAAATTACACGGACACACGTACGAGCTACGAAGAATACGGTAGCGTGAGAAATGGCGATTCTCCCCGTGGAAGTTACGACTCCCTGCGAATAAACGAGCTCCGCTATCAAACCGTGCGAAAAGTGGAATAAAATTATCCGCGGATGTACACATCCCGGAAAAATGATACGACGACGATAGGATGAATGCTCCTAATTCGAGTTTGACGGCACGCCAAATTGCACGCAAAACAGGGCTGTCTGCGCCGCTGAGAAATGCACGACATATTTTGCAGAGGTCTCGGTGCAAACGATCCAGAAAACTTCAAAGAAAATTGCCGATGAAGGAAGGTGGAATCAGAGACGAAGAAAATTTTAATCGAGTAGTAGTTTATGAGTAAGATTTAGATTCGTTTAGTTCTTAATTAATATTAAGATAGGTTGCGTTTATTTAATTTCGTTCCACTGTTGAAACTTGTATTTTTATTCTGCAAGTAGTGCAAGAAGGTTGTTTAGCTTTTACTCGCTATTGGAAATTTCTGTATAAATAACAATCTCGTCCATCGCTGAATCGAACCGAATGAGAAGTTGCAGTAAATGGAAAGAAATATTGTTTATCGATGGGAAAAAAAATTTCAGAGAGGATATACCACAGAATTTTGTAGCAAGGCAACTGGTATCTCTGGATATCAATTCACTTATGGTCCGGTAAAAGTATCAATTGAACGTGAGGTTACAAAATAAAATCGAGAATAATTTTGTCTTGGAGTAAAGTGCGAGTAAAGTGCGAAGTGTCCACGAAAAGGTACCGCAACGAGGAAGTTGTACAAGAATAAATTGAAAGAAGTACACAGCAAGGTAGATAAAACCTTTGATTGGGTCGCTTTAAACTTTTGCCACCTAGCCGCGCGGAAACTCCTAAATGATCTTTTATATCGCAGCGAGCAAGACGTTTATGCGAATAAAATAGAACAGCTATTCCATAATGTTCCAAAAATTGCTCCACGGGACGCGATGGTAACTGGGTGACCTTGCGTTACTGTCCCCTTTAACTGTACCGTAACTGGACCTTCTAATGACGTTTCTCTCGAGTGTGGAGGAAAATGACCGAATTTGGACCGCTACGCGCATTTTCCAACCCCCTATGCGCGAGAAATTAAATATTTTTGGGAACGCTGTAACCCGAAATGTCCCTTCTATTTTACTTGTTTAAAGCAGAGCTTTCATATTCCTTTTTTAACAACGTATTCTGGAGTTACTAAGAGCTTTCATATGCCACGAATTTTATAATCGAAAATTATGATTTCAAATATATACAAACGTTTCAGTTAATCAATTATACACATAATTATTTGAAACTCCAGTTTAAATAGCAATATCTTTTTTTTTTCATCAGTGATCTGGATGTTGAAATCTAGTTGGAAAAATCCCTTCTGGTATTACAGACTTTGGAAATTGACAGTCTGCGCTGCATCGACGGAACATACTTCGACACACATGTGTCATCGCTGCAAACTCGATATGCCCGGGAGGTACATCCGATATATCCAGACCATCAACGTCATCGAATAACGCGAACGTATTGCTCCCTTTTTGTGAATGCGCACTACTTCCGCGGAAAAGTACTTTCAATCGGTTTCCTACACCGCGTGCAAAGCAAATCGTCCGCATAATCGGACACGTGAATGGTGAAAAATATGCCCCAGAAATTAAGAGTAATCAAGAGTAATTAAACTCCAGCTTCGCACCTTATAAAATTGATACTTTTCTTTTTTCTAGTACATAAAATTCCTTTCACCCACAATTTTTCTATCCCGGACCTAACTCCCCAAAAAATATTATATAACAGACACCATGGACAGACATAGATGCATCGACGAGCAATCAATTTTACCTAGTCAGGCTCACTCACAGTGGAACACCGACAATGCATCGCGTACGTACGCGTTTCACTCGAAGAAGAAAGCCTGGTTCCATTAAAATTTTCGGCCGGTACACGCGACATTTGCGGCAAACCCCCGCGACACGTTTCCACCGTTGTAGTTTCGACAGAAACTCCATCAGACCAGCCTCGCGCGATTTAGGAGCGGTACGCCATCCCCGCTGGGAACAGTTTCGTCCACGCTGCGTACAGGCCGTTTTTGCACTCGATTCTTTGCTCTCTGACGTGGGGATGGTTCTATCCCTCCTCCCCCCCCCCCTCCCTCCCTTCCTCGACGCCCTTTCGAGCTACCTCGTTAAAATTATTTCCGGTCGGAGGCTGGCTTTCGAACCTGATCGTCCGGTTCCCATTAAAACCGGATATCCACTTTTTCCACGACTCGATGGAGAAGCTTGCCTATCGGTACCGTTAATTTAGACGTTAATTGCAAAAAGACCAGTGGGATATCCAACGCCTGAGGGATACGAAACCTCTGCGTTTCGTGTGCAAGAAGAGGAACGGCGGATGTTTGTTTCGAGAGGTTTGCTTTGCCATTTTTGGAAAAATTTGAAAATAGGTATTTAATGGAAAAGAACGATCGTTTTGCATGATTCCGAAAAAAATTTCGAAGAAAAAGTAATCGTATCACGAAATCCATACCCTCGTTTCTTCAATTCCTTTCGCAGAGTAGAAGAACAACAAATTTGATTCGGATAACTTCGTTCTTGAAGAAGTTATTTTGATTTCAAGAGAGGCCAACGCCAATATTTATCGAAACGAATTTTCGAAACTTTGTACTTTTATGTATTTTTGACGCTGAATTGGACAGAGTAAAAAGAAAAGTGGTAATCCCGATGCTGACAATTGTGAGTTTTGTACCGTAAATAAATCTTTTATGAAATTAATGTTACGTCAAGAAAAGGATAAAATGGAAAGGCAGCTAGTACATTTGCAAAGTACGGTGTGATACGATTCCTCGATTCAGATGAACCTTGTTTATACGGAGCCATTTATTCGTATTCGCAGCGATGCAATATGGATTATTTGTTTGGCCGCCCTTTGAACGTGTTTGCCAAACAAAATATTCATTATAAACAAAAAAAAGTGAAACGGGTTTATGAAAACTTTTTCACTGTTTTCTCTCTATCAATGTCCGTTATTTATTGCTATCTTGTATATTTGTAAAACGGCAAAGAGGACACGACGAAAAAAAAAACCATGGAAATTTAGTGTATTCATTTTTCAATGCTTCTTCACATTCGTTGCATTTTGGTGGCTAATAAAATCTTGAAAAACTATAAGAATTTTATTGATTAAAAAAAAAAAAAAAAAAAGGCATTTTGCTTCCAGATATAAATACACATACTTCACATATTTACATAAATTGACTCACCAACAGACCAAAGAAGACGAATCGACGTAAAGCACTAGCACTGACGAATCTAAACCGACATTTCTACTCTATGGGAAGAGGAGGAAGTCCGTAGAACACTGACGATTGCACAAGCCTATCGTATCTTTTATAGCCTTTGCAAACGTTCGTGATTCCTTCTACTGATGGACAATAATCAGTCAGGAACCTTGGGCTAATAATGCGTTGGTTAAATGGCCGATACAACGCGTTTAAATCATCGCGCTAGAAGAAAAGAAATCCCCCCCGTGCAATCAACGACGATCGAACGATTGGAAACCGACGTTTCTGCATGACCGTGTGATAAATTGCGTGTAATTG